GGGCTCCCCCGCGCTGGGCTGCTCCGGTGGGGAGGCGAGGGGAAAGTCGCGCGTCGTGGGCCGCGCCTGCGGCGTAGCAGGGGCTTACTGCAGCAGCAAAAATGGTGGGTTTGCTTTTTGTGGGTGCCCTTAAGGTACAGCGTGCTGCACAGGCGCCGTCTAGGGCGGGCTGGAGAGAGCAGGCGGAGTTAACCGCTGTCACAGGAGCAAGGTACGCGACCTGTTGGCAGGGCGGCTTTCGCGATGGCCGTTTGAGAGCTGGTTTCCTGAGCGGTTCCCTCTTTGTCCTGCATTTGCTGTTCCTTTGAGGAGGATGCGTAACTCGTGCCATCTAAATGTTTTTGTAACAAATCGGAATGAATTCCCTTCGATCTTACGGTTCTGCTACCTGTTGTACGCTGTGAGCTCTCACAGAACCCTCCTTAGAGGGCGCGTTACGCGACAGTCGTTACACAAGGCAGAAGAGAGTAGTTTCTTTTTTTCTAACCTGTTGGGGGAAAACCTTGCTTCTCTCGGCATCTTATTTGCATTGGTTTGTCTTAAAAACATACGCTGTTTGATCACTGTCGCAAGGAGGCAGCTTTGCGTGCATGTGATCTGCCCCAAGGAACCGTGGTACTTTTGTTTTGTTCCCAGCTCCCCCCACCCCCCCTTGTGTTTTACCTATGTGGTCTCTCTGCCTGTGAACAAGACAGGTTTTACAGGGGTTTTTGTCTTCATTTTGACAGTGCCTCACAGTAACTGGTTACTAGTCAAGTAAGGCCTTGCAAGGGAGTTGGCCAGAGACCTGGAGATTTTACTCAGCAAACAGCAGTGCTCTCTGACCTGCTGCAGGAGACTCACCTCTAATTTGTGATCTGCTTTGAGAAAGAAGCTTGAGTTCAGTTCCTGCTCAGTGATGAAGAGGGCTCAGATGTGCTTACTTTATTGCTCCCACAAGAGTCCAAAGTCAAAACAGAGCACAGAGGGATTTTCAGCATTCTGAGAGGATTTGAGGAACAACAGAAAACAGAGAAAATGCCTTACTTCTGCAGGAAAGCAAGGACATGAACATTTTAGAATACTCGGTTATTTTTTTTCTTTTTCAGGTTTATACTGTCAACTTGGAATCTCGTTATTTACTAATACAAGGAGTTCCTGCATTAGGTGTTATGAAGGAATTAGTTGAACAGTTTGCCTTGTATGGTGCCATTGAAGAGTATCATGCTCTAGATGAATATCCAGCGGAGCAATTCACTGAAGTTTATCTCATAAAATTCCAAAAACTGCAATGTGCAAGGTATTGGACAGGGCAGTATCTGTCTCTTGCTGTCTTAATCTTTCACACCTTCTTTATCTACAGTCTGTTAAGATTCTACAGAGTTGAAGTAAAATCCTCACTTTTGCCACTACAATTTATTTCCCTTCAGGGTGGCCAAGAAAAAAATGGACGAACGAAGTTTCTTTGGCAGTTTGCTGCATGTGTGCTATGCTCCAGAATTTGAAACAGTCCAAGAAACCAGGGAGAAGTTGCAGGATAGAAGAAAATACATAGCAAAAGCAACAAATCAAAGAGGTTGGTAATGAAATTTCCTACAGAATCTTAACATCTTGCTGCAGTGGTGGGTGGGGTTTTGGTTACAGTGCCCATTCAAGAAAATGCTTGGTATCTGGCTGGTTTAAGGAATGGAGACATCTTTCAACATTTAGAGGGCTCTATCTTTTTCAAAGCAACTTTTCACTTTTGGTTAGGACAAATATAAAGAAATGCTTTAGCTTTAATAATGAAGTATTTCCTTCTCTTTTTCTTTTCAAAATGTTATCAGAAATTTCAAGCACTGGCAGGAAGTTTGGGATCATCTTTTCACCCTTGTGCCAGCTTATTCAGGCATGCCCAAAGAGATAGCTTGTAAGGAAGGTGACTATACCAGAACCTCCAACAAAAAATTTCTCCAGTGTACATATTGGCACTGGAGGAGTACTAAGAATGGACGGGGCTTACAAAAGCTACTGGTACTGCAGAGTTCCCAGGCAGCAATGAAGGCAGGGCAAGCTGAGAAATACGCCAATGGCCAAGCACAGGCTTCTCCTTTCTTGTGCTTATGTACTTTGATATCATTACTCATTGCATGAGGATGTTTAGAGGGAGGAAAATCACTGATTTTTAACATCAAAACACCTAGGGGGTGTTTTGATGTTGCAAGACAGCCTTTCCTTCTTGAAATCATACCTGGAGGTAAAACCCATTGATCTGCAACATCAGAAATATTTTCTTCATGTTCTTAAAACTGCTGCAATGCTTCTGCTCAGGCATTCCCCACAAACCAGCAAAGGAACGAGGCTGAAAAACTTCAGTTTGAAAGGTGCCACTTAGGAAAAAAGAATCACAGAAAGGTGGCCGGGAATGAAATATAACTGGTATTGCTTCTGTAATTGTATTATATGTTTTTTCTTATGTCTTAGAACTAATAATGACATGAAATAGTGAAGCTACTTTTTTGTTGTTGTTTTAAAGATTGGTTTGTGGTAAAGAAAGTAGAGGGGCCTGAGAAGACCATCTCAAAGAACCCTGACTGTCCGTGGAGTACACCAAGGTCATGTACAACCGGGAACTGGGATCCATCATGCTTTACAAGTTCTCACAGGGTATGCCAAAACACAGGATATCCATCTGGGAATCATAATCAGAGCCTGTTGATGTTTCCCCAGTGTGATAACGAGTGTGCTGAAACTTCTAGGTACTTTGGTCAAAGCACATCCCTAACTCTAAATGTACAGCCAGGAGGACGTACTCCACCAACTCCTTTAATGCAGCAAAGAACAGTTCCCAATGATAACGGAATTGATAGGTTTATGCCTCGTACGACTCACCTGCAAGAACGTAAAAGGAAGAGAGAAGAAGGGAACAAGTTTTCCCTCATTGGAACAAGTGCAGACAATACTGAAGTCATTATTGGTCCACAGCTACCAGAAATACCTAAAGTGGATATGGATGATGATTCATTGAATACTTCAGCCGCACTAATTCGAAATAAACTGAGAGAGGTATGGATTTTGAAAGTTCTGGTATTTTCACTTTCAAGCATATATATTACATGCTTGGTATCCCTAAAAATAGAGTCCCTAAGGTAACTTAATTCAATATTTATTCAGTATTACCAGTTTATTTGCCACTTAAAGCTACCGTTCTTACTAAACTCATTTATAATGCAGAACATTGCAGGCCATTGTACTCCCCACCTCTTACACTGTACTTCAGAAAGTATAAGTGTCAGCACACTGTCCTAAATGATTTTTAGTAAACTACATTTTTTTTTTTCCCCCAGGTAGGGAGGCATGAGAACTTTGGAGGTAGTTGTGGTGACTCCAGCGTGGTACTTGTATCTGGTTTCTGATTGAAAGGGAGTCAAAAACAATAGTGTCAGAGTTCAATGTAATTTTGCTCCAACACTTCTTATGGCATGAAAAGAAGTACAGAACCATGCTGAGAAGCATGCCTAAAGCTGTATAACCTTTTATGGAGGATATTAGTCGATTAGCAGGTTGAACATTCCTGATATAACTTTCCATTTAAATTAAGATATGAAGAAACTCCCTTGATTATGACTAACTAGATAGATTTGAAAGAGGTGATCTCCAGTCAATTGAATAAATAAGCACACCTTATGTTAAATACACTTCTAAAATATATGTCAAAACATATATTTTTTCTTTTCCTTTCCTTTCCCTTTTCTTCCTGGAACACACGAGGTTAAAAAGCATACTAAGCCTTACTTTGAAAACACCTCTGGTAGGGAGAGGGGCGATAAGATACATAACACTGTATCACAGAGCATCTGAAATCAGTTTGTGTGGTTAAAATACAAAAATGGTACTGTTAACATTTCCAAGTTTCACCTCTCCTGTGTTTAATGCTGCCTTTAGTGTTATTTTTTTCCCTTTTTCTAGAGGGAAATTCAGTACAAGCGTGATTATAGTAATACATCTCTCCCAATACTCAAATGTTGGAGACATGGCCTTACTCTAAATCTAGCACAAAAAAGGAGTGGTTACAGTTTACTAAGAATTTTTTTTTTCCCAATTAGGTAGCTGATTCTTTTTCAAGAACACCTGTGGAAAAGCCAGAGAGTAGCTCAGCCAAACCACTTGTAAAGCAGAGAAGAAGAATATAGATACTGCTGGCAGCATCTTCCAACAGTCATTTTTTAAAGTATATAGTTTAAAATACCTATTTTTTTATGTTAACAATAAAACTGTTTTCTACTGTGTTTCCAAGCCATTCCCTGTTAAAAATGGTATCAATTTATTTCTTGGAATGAACAAACCAGTGTATTCCTATTGCAATCTTTTCTTGTGCACTTCAAACTATAACATGTTTCGTAACTCATGAAGAAGTCTATTTAGGTAGAGTAACAGAAATAAATTCTATTTATTCAGCAGCTTTTGCAGTAAAAGAATACTGAAACTTAGTAATAGTTTCAAGTTGCTCCTATTTTTACTATACCGTGAAGAATGGTGAAGAAAAAACCTCTTACAACAGCATTCCACTTGGAGTTACAGTTTACGAGTTTCCTGGAAAGTTTTCTGTTCAAATGCCATACTGCTCTGTTTAAAAAAGGGGGGGAAAAAGTTCATTTTCAGTTAACTAAAAGATTAATCAGAAAAGATGTTAAACTAAAATGTGTAAGCAGTGACAGTCCTTACAGTTAGGCTACCTCTTGCTTTTCAGCTTAGAAAAGGTAAATTCCATAGCATTAACAATATCATCACTGGGGGACCAGTCAGAACATTCACAGTTATAACTGAAGGGGAAATGGCTCACTGCAGTAACTTGCAACCAAGGAATGCTCTGGCATGGAGGGTGAGAAGGCCTAGCTGCAGAATGAGTTAAGCTGGCTGGAAGCAGGAATTCTAGAAACCGAGTTGACTTTGTAAAGGTGTGAAGTTTCCCTTTGTGATAACAAATATCCACAGTGCTGTGTTACAACAATTCTGGAGTGGGAATACTCGGGGGCCACCTTTGGGCAGCAGAACCGTCACTGGGGGGATGAACCCAGTGCTGGGCTAAGGAACCCCGTGCTGACACTCTCAAGGTTGGTGCTGGTGCAAGAGTATGTAAGGAATCGGCTCGTAGTGCATCTTTGCAGGCTCCTTGTAGAACTGCTCATGGTGGTTGCTCATTACTTTTTTTTTTTTTTAAATGTATTTAAGTACAAATGAGTGTTTAATTTGTGTCAACGGGTAAAATTAAAATTCTCCAACACAACCCCACTGGAAAATCTAGTAAGTTGTGGGTTTTCTTCATGTGAAGCTCATAGCCAAAATTTATTTATTGCTTTTAGGGCTTGAAAGAAAATGTAAATAGAATTCTCTTTTAACTGGAGACCTAGCAAAAAGGCAACAGTTAGGTAGGGTATAGAACAGAGGGCACAAATACTATAAGCAGGAAAGAAGCAGAGTTTTCTACCCTTGCCATGATTAGCCTGAACCGTGTACCTGCTTTATCACCAACACTGACAGAAAGCAAGTCACTTTTTTATGTTGGTTAGTGAATGAAATTTTCTTCAGGAAGTTTTTAAAACCTTTCCACTGGTGTAAAAAAAAAGAAAGAAAAGGAAAAGAAGAAGAGAAGAAGGAGAGGAAAAGAAGAGAAGAAGGAGAGGAAAAGAAGAGAAGAAGGAGAGGAAAAGAAGAAAAAGAGTACTTCCTTGGGTTTTCCCAAACCCTTGGAAGTCTTGTGACAGCCTCCCAGAAGAAGTCTGGTGTTTTGGAAACAGCTGCTTTGCAGCTGACATGATACAGTACAGGCCGCAATCAGGCTACAAGGCTCTTTCTTCCTGTCCTCCAGCCTACCAGGTAGGTGAGCTGGCAGAAGTGTTGGTCTCCAGCAAATCAGAACTTGCGTTTCCAGCAGTTTTACAAAACTCTTCTGTTTCTAGGAATCACTGCATGTGTTTCAGAATTTTGTTTTTTCATCTCTATGAAGGCACAACTTTGAGTATTTAAAAATGACACGCAGTTCAAAAGTGTAATGATTATTGATTAAGAAAGAAAATATTATTGAGCAGAAACACTCTCCACAGTCGAACTTAGGACTGAGGAAATAAGCATGTTCTAAATTACCATCTTCAAAAAAAAAACCCAGCCCCAAAATTCTGAATTGAATTAGATGTATTGCTAATAAATGAAGCCTAGTTAGATGTAATTAAAAAGCAGTAGTGCCACACTGAGATGAAGAACCCTCTCGAGGTATTTTTTTTAGAAAGTTAGCCTCTCCCAAAAGAGGCTGTAACTGAGGTGATGGCAGTGTTGTCAGTGGCACTGAAGAAAGAAAAATAAAAGCTGTATTCCTGGAGAGCTTTTGGATAAACAAGAGAATGGTCTCATTTGCTTAGTCTCAGTGGGTGCTCACTGAGGATCATTCATTATATTGCTGCCCCAGGACAGACAACCACTGAGTAACAGCATGTTCTTATATTCTCTGGCGGTGTTTGTATAAGGAAACATTAGTGCCGTGAAAGGTAGATACAAACTCAGGACATGTGTATCTATCTCCTAACTGAAGCACGTATCAGTTGACTTCAGCAGGCCCCGCGTAATGACAGTTAATACCATAATACATACATCTCCTTGACAATAGTACAGAAAGTATTTGCACTTTTTTTTTTTTTAACTCAAGACTGATGTACCTTTAGGTCTGGCAAACATGGTCCAAAGGCTTCTAAGAGAAGATTTTCATCTCTGACTGCTTTTTCAAAGTCCATAAAAGAAAGCTTGCCATCATGATCGTAGTCCTACAAAAGGAAGAGAACTCTTCAGCAAAGGATTATCACTTGCAGTAACTCTTTTTGTTTAACAGACTTTCACGTGGATTCTATTTTGAGTGTACACAAAAATAATTTTCTTTAGACCATCAGTCTCTGCTCAGACTAAGATCTGTATTATTTGCCTCTACCTAAGGCACAAAAGGTGGAGCAAGCTCAACTATCTCCTATAGCTTTGCTAACAGAATTCCACAGAAGGCAGAACTTTAACATGGGAAAAGGCTGAGCTGAGAATTGCACAGACAAATCTCAAGCACTATTGCACTGAGATAAATTAAAAGTAGGAGACTTCAAAGTAGGAGAAAATGTTAGGATAAATTCTGTATCTCTATTCACATCATGGTGTACCAACACCCTGTTCATGAGGCTGGAAATACTTCACCCTAGTGCTTTCTATAGTGGGCATACTTCTGCCCTGTCTTTCACATATAGCACACAGAAGCATACGGTGGAGTACGCTGATGCCAGCCCACTTCTTTTGTACTGTAGAATCTCACCATAGCAGACTATTCCTCTGGGGGTGGAAAAATCATCCTCGTGTTTTTAGCATTTCTGCAATTTGAAAACCTCCTGTTTCTACTGACATGGTGGTAGCTTAAAACGCCAGCAAACGTTACGGTGAGCACAAATACTTCTTTAAACCATATAAAATAAAGGCTTTATGTGAAGACTGATGGGTGATGTTCATGGCACAGGGCCAAATCAAAATTTTTGAAGATCAAGCCATGGCACCATCACAGCTGGTGAACATGCAGGGAGCACTGTTTCTAATGGCCACAAAAGCAGGGGCAAGGAGCTATGTAGACAGATTCCTGAACAGAAAAACCTGCCACTGGGTGCTTGAGAGAAACAGAAGTGGCCGGGTACGCTCTACCATTTACACTACTCAGCACAAAGGTGAGCAGGGCATGAGGATGTTCATTACAAATGCTTTTAAATATGAAAATGGTTATTGTGGGACTGGACGTACGCTTAGTCACAGTGCTGTTGTAGCTACAGGCAATTGCTCAATGAGAAGTTTTTTCTTCTTTGAGTGATGGACTCCACAAATGCATTTTGGGTATCTAATAATTACTTGTTTAGTTATTTGCGATGGGCAGCAATATCATACTCTGACAACTGCTCAGCAGCCAAATCAGATCTGGACATTCTTCAAACATGTATCAGAGCTTTATTAAGTTCTCGTGGTAAAGCTGAAACAGGATCATGTGCATGATGAGTTTATAGTATGTTCTTACATATATGAATGATATTATGTCCAGTGCATAGTGCTTGTGCTTGAAGTAGCATAGCCCACGTACCAACTGCGCAGAACATGAGGGTGTTCATTTTGGATGCAACCTGCAGGAAAGCTGAACATGTAGGTGCTCCAAAGATGAACAAATTGCTGAGTTATAGTTTGCTTTCTGTGTGAGAGGAGACTCAGCACTGTCAAGAACTAAGGGTAAGATGGACCTTTCAGCTGAGGTTCTGCAAGAGGGGTGGGTTTGAGAAATAGAAAAAACTGGGATTCAAGACCTGGTTTTAAGTGAGATTTTTGAATGCCACCATAGGAGGGGAGGTTATATTTCTTGATGAAAATGTTGAAACACAGTCCCTGGCTGATTTGGATATCCTAGATGCATCACAGTGTGACAAGTTTTAAATGAATAACCTTGAAGTTACTATTCTAATAGAATATATAAATTGGATAAAGATGTTCAATGATCAATTGATAAAATACAAATGTACTTAATAATAAAGCTACTGCAGATGCCTAACTCTGGAATAAATGCAGCTTATGCTTTTGGATTTTCCACTTTTGACTGGGCTTTTGTTTTGACTGGGCATGTGTGCGTGTATGCATACATACATATGCTAGTTTATACGTATAGTTTTAATACATTCCCATAATAAGTAACAGTTTCATGTGAGGATACTGGACTGGGACTTACTAGATCTGGATTGTATTTCTGGCTTTCCTTAGGAGACCTGTTTATCTCAGGTATGTAACTAACTCCATGGCTCAGAATCCCACTGTGAATCAGACACAGTATTTTGTTACCTCATAGGAATGTTCTAAGGTTCAGCCAATGAGTATCTGAAACACATTTGAGTATCATGATGAGTAAGTACTTGCCATTTTCTTCAGTGCTATGTCTACCAAGTCCTTAATTCCCTCATCAGGATCTTCTTCTGATGGCTGTTTGAGAAGGCTGTTTTTCAGCATTTGAAACATTTCCTCTCTTGAAATGTATCCATCACCATTCAGGTCGTAAACCTCAAAACAGTCTTTTTGAAAGATAAATCAATTTAAAGTTCATACAAGCTATATCGCATATCCTTAAATCTGTCTGTTACCTACAGACAGAAAATGTGAATTGTACAGCATATCTACTGAGCCACATCTGCTATATAATAATTATATATGAAATATATGTATCACATTTTGATACATACACTAGTCAATTATGGCCTATTTACCCTTCATAGTTAAAACCTATTTCTGCTCAAATAAATAATCTTCAGTTCACAGAAACCATAGTAATTTACAGATCTTAACTTCTCTAAAATTGTTAATTTAGAATATAAACAAGGTTCTTGTTTAGAAGCTGTTTCCCATGGTGGGGACCAGCTGCCTATATCAGAAGGGCTTTGCACCTACAAAACACATCCTAGTTCTTTCAGGAAGAAGCTGAGTTAGAGAAGTAGAGGAAAAAGAAGAATGAGCTTTACTAGTATGGAAAAGACAACTAAAGTATCCCTTAATGCAAAGAGAAAATCTCTGTAACAGAGTATTTTAGGTATGAGTATCTGCCCAATTTATCTTCTAATTGTTTCTACCTCCCTGGAATCAGAAATCTAGGACCATGATAAAACTTTACTTTCCTTCACAAAACTTATTTAAACGAACAAACAAAACTTTTAGTTCTGGAACACAAGAGGTTTTTTTCTGCCAAAGGCTATGCCTACAGTGAAAAATTGTGCTGGCATACATTTATGACAGACAACACTGTGTATCACTACACACTAGTATATTCTATAGTGCTTACAGCAGGGCTGCGTATTTTACTGCTTGTGGTTGTACTGACATACTGAACTACATCCCAGGCCACCTTCCAGTGCAATGCTTTATGATGAATTTATATAGGGCATTAAGGATGGCTGGTGCTGCAAACTGGGAATTACAGAAACAACATGCTATCACTCTCCTGTCTCTATTATACTTTCCCCCCACACTGTCCCCCTTTCCCCCCCCACCCCTTGCTTCTTAAAATCTGGAGTTCTTGCTATTTTTTCTCTCTTATCTTTTTCCATCAGTACTGTGGAGGTCCTCATGACCATCTTACAAATACATTCAGTTTTCCCATCTATGCTTCCAGGCTGAATAATCTCTAGAATTAATGCAAATGCTGCTCTGTCCCCATTGTGCCAGTACATGATGCTGGCACAGGTCTTGGTTGGTTTGAGACTGCGTTATTCAGCCAAAATCACCCTGAGCTACATCTGCTTCTTTCTAATTTTGTTTGTGAGTACAAAAACATGTATTTTGTCAAAAAACCTGCATACTGTACAACAAGCTTCAGTTCAAAAGCTAGTTTTTTTGTCAGCAACAAAATGAGGTGGCAGCTATAACAGCAGTTTACACTGCTGAATAATCTGTCTCCGAGAAGCTGTTCAGTATTCAGTTTCATAGCATTAACCACACAGAAGAAAACTCTTCAATTACCAAATACTTTATAAGAGTAACTACTAAATTATAACAAAAGCAACGTGTAATTTAATAGTCATAAATTCCATGATTGCTACTAAATAGTAGCATGCAGATAAACCTTACATTTAATCCTTTCTTCCAATGTCCCCCGAAGAAATACTGATAAGCCTTCCACCCATTCCACCACACTGATGCAGCTATCGTTGTCTTTATCAAAAGTGCGGAACACTGAGAAGTGTATTAGATAGGTTTTAAATTTATATGATAGGGAAACACAAATGAGTATTTTCTTAAATTCAATGAAAATATAAAACCGTATTTTCTGAAGATGTTTCTCTGCTTTCATCAAGTTATGACTACCCTTCTTGAATCTTTCTAAGCCATAATAAGGAAGGGGATTTCACCCCTCAGTCAACTGATCTTCCACTCCAGAATCCTGCTGGGATAAGACATTTTGTTTCATCTGTTGCTTTCCTGACTTCAACAACTACAGGAAGTATGCTTCCATGCAGACATAAACCAAATATACCAAGATCCCTTACACTAAGGCATATTTGCATGTAGAAGAGGATTTTCATCACTAGGTTTTGTCTCAAAAATCTTGAAGTAATCCTAGAAACAATACATAAATATTTTAAATATACAAAGAAAAAGAACCTTCTCCCATCTTTCATGTACCAAGGCCTTTTTTCTTCTCCCTTCCCTGAAATAAGAAACTTTCAGTAATTATTTATACAGCCTGTAATATAGTACTTCAAGATATAATTCAAAGCATCAACTTACAACTATTACTAACTCGCATTTTAGAATGCTAATTAGTAAGTTGGCTACAGGAACATATCTGTACATGCAGAGCCAAGCATTTTGGAATTGGAAAACAACAGCTTTGCTTTTGCAACTGAATTCAGCCTCCTTGTAGGTAAGTGTTAAAATAATTTTTAAGAATGTGTCCACGTAAAGCGTTTTCCAAGACACACTTGACTTGTGGCATAAAATGGCATTTAAATACCCCTCCTGCTAGAGAGTGGGAGAAAGCTGAACCACGGGGTGGCTCTTGGCAGGCTGAGACTGAAAAGAATGGCAGACTCATGCCTCCTCCACATCCTCCTCTAGACACCTGTACATCAGAGATCATTCACGTGACTTTCACAGTAACTGGAAACACGGCTCTCTTTAATCTGTGAAATCACTATATTTTCAAAGGGTTATTTGGCTCATTACTCTTATCTCCCTGTATTGTCTCCGTCTCATCCCTTCAGTGCTGTTCACAGCACCTCTATTCCCGAAGTTATCCACTCTAACAGAATGCCTTTCTGGGACCTCCAAACCCGAGACAGAGCTGTCCACCAGCAGCAGTGACTGCAGCTCCTGGTGGAACCGTGGGAGAAAAGAGGAAAGTGACGCCCATGCTACAGTGACTGGGACAGAAACTGCCACAGGACAGCACTACAACTGCTCCTCCGGCTGGTCCCCCTCATACAGGGGCGTGAGCTATCCTGGACCAAGGAAAAAACTATTCCACTTAAAGAAAAAAAAAAAATATTTCCCTTACTCAGCACCTCCTGAGCCTAACTCTTCCTTTGCTGTCCTTACAGGGATGAGATGGCACTATGTCTAGGTGTGCACATTGGGTCAACAATGTAAAACTAAAATCTTACATCTTTTTTAGATCTATCACTCTCACCTCTGTCCATGATCATGTCATCCATCATGCCAAACACGCTGTGCAGCGTGTCTCTGAACATGTTTCGGTCAAAGCCGACCGTAGCGAAGCGGTTACTGGGCTTGCCCACCAGCGTGTCGAAGAGCTTGATCAGACTTTCCACTTCGCTTTTGTTAACTGCCCAGTCAAAACACAAGTGAATGTATTTTATAACTTGATAAAAATTCACAGCAGGCACAGGGAAGCTACAGGGCCCACAAGCCTCAGGTGTCAACCATTAAACAGACTGCCCCGCACCCCTCCGCCCCTCACCCACTGCCCCTTGGGGGGGTGGGGGTGAGCAGGCCCCAGCGCGGGCACAGGGGACAACGGGTGGCC